GCTGTAGACACACAGATACAAAATGTTACACTTACCTGCCATTCATTCTCGAGATCCCGCCCACACGGCTTCCGCTCGCACCTGTCCCCTGAACCTCGCCAAGGTGACGAATGGCTTCCGACCGCCCAATCCACAGGCCCTCACTCAGCTTCACCTGGCTGGGCTCCTGGGCAGTACCCCGCCTGCTGGCCAGGGCGTCCTTCTGCAGCCCCCCCCCCCCCCCGGCCGAGCACTGCATCCTCCCGTCTCTTTGTACAACCCCCCACCCACCCCACCAGCCAAACCTCAAATGTTACGGTTCCTCCGGACGATGTCCCGTCCCTGGGCCACCCGTCGGGATTTCCCAAAGGCATACTAAAATAATTATGTCTACAGTGAACGTGTGACTCCTCTCCCTTGACCCGCCACTTCCAAATCACTGTCTCCCCTTTTCAGGGCCCCTTCTGCAGTCGGGCCACCCCCACCTTTCACCCACACCCCTGCGGCAGGCCCCAGTGAGCTCACTGCTTTTACTGGTTGGTTTTTCACGCCAGCAACCAGCATGGTCCATCAAAAGGCACATCACATTGTGTCACTTCTTCTTAAAACGACTTGGTTTCCCCTCTAACAACTCCGTAAATCTCCTAGTTTCCTTGGCTGGCTTCTCTGTTCTCTGGATTACTAAGAAATGACTGACTATCACTCCGAGCTTCTGTCCCCTGCACGCCATGGCCCTTGCCCTGCTTTCCCTCTGGGTCCTGTGCAAGGTCCGCTCTTTTCTCCTTCCTTCTGCAGCTCTGAGCTCTGCCGCTGCTTGGGAGGCTCCAGCCTTTCCCGCCGCTTGTCCCTGCACGTGCTAATCCCTCCACCCACCAGGCTTACCCAATCTTCGCTGGTCTGAACCGTCGCCGTATAGTCTCAATGTAAATGTCATTTCTTCACTGAACACGTCCCCAACAAACCATTATCCTAGTATCATCTCTCTTAACACCCTTCTTAGCACTTTTCACAACTTCTAATTGCACATCTATATGCTTGTTGGAAACCATCTCCTCTGTTAGAATGTAAATTCCGCAAGGGTAGTGTTGGTTTTGTATCCCCATACAGCACCAACCTACACCACGTGCTATAGCCTGGAAGAGATGCCTAATAAATATTTTTAAAAGAAATGCATGAAGGAGAGAAGAAGAAAGCAAGGAAGCTAGTTTTCCATGAAGCTGTTTCATATAACCTCTCTGTAGAAATGAACAGGGACAGGTGTTTTTTAAGCAAACTTATAATTCATGAAAATCTAAATTTACATAAAGGGTATGTTGAAAGGTGATTTTTCCACTTTACAAAAAGATCCATCATAAAATTCTTTAAACAGGATTCCCAGGTACATGGAACATAAGATTTTATTGATTAAAGCCATATGTTTGCACAGAATTCTTCAGGAAAATATCTTTTATATAAAGCAAGGTTGACCTATAAGCAATTTCCTTAAGGCACCTAGCCCAGAATGGCCAACTCTCAAATTTCCTAGGTAATAGATAATGGGAGGCTTGGAATGCAGTGGATATTTGAAACCCTAGAATGCAACGCAGTAATTTCAGCCATTTAGGGCCCTCACGCCTTTTCTTAGAAAAATAGCTGATGAGGAGATGAATTGCTGCATTCGAATCTCCCCAACTCCTGTTTCTGTGTGTCAGTGAAAGTAAGATGGCTGTGAAATGACCCCCGAAGAGGCTGCTTTGGAAAATAAAACAAAGGCTTGTAAAATTCAGCTAATGGATGCTTTTCTCCCAACTTCCCCCACCACCATGACCACCACTGATAATTAAGTTGCCAGAAAAACTCTATAGATATTAGACATTTTTTCTAAGTGTCATAAGTGCAAAATTGGACTAAAGAATTCCATGTGTTAATAAATAAAATGCAGTTAACTTCTCTGGGTTTTGATTTCCTCATCTTAACAATATGGGAGTCCTTTTAAAGATTTTTTTTTTTTAATAATTCTGCTCTTGAACCTACCCAAACTTTATAAAATAAGATAACTTGTGACTGTTCTCTCTGTTTTGTGAAATACATTTCTCACTATTTCTGCCCTGTTAATTGGAAGCTTTAGTAAATGATCGTGAGCTTTCATTCAAAACACTTATAATATTTGTGAAAATGGTTGATTTGACTATTACTAATGATTCTTGCTAAGAAGAAAATGCTTTGCAGAATTTACTTATAACTAACCTTTTCTTTATCAAACATGTTCCACTATAATGGGAATATAATAAGCTATTCTTGAAGTGTAGTACAAGTGAAATATTTCAGCTGCAGGAAGGAAAAAACACTTTATTTGCAGTGGTAATAAACATCAAGGGCATAGGTTAGTTTACCTTTCAAAAACAAGACTACTTTTGTCTCAGAAAATCCAACACTTCCAAATTTAGAAGAAGATACTTATGACACTTAGAAAAAATGTCTAATATCTATACAGTTTTTCTGGCAACATTTTTGCCCTTATCAACTTCCTGAAACTTATTCTACCCTTACTTCCTACAATTTATTTTTGCCCCAAAATTACTATTTCTAATGACATTCTGAGGGATGATTATTTATCCAAGTGATGTACTAAGGTATTAACTTCTTACATAAGGAATTTTAGAGTAATAATGTTGATCCCTAAGACTCTTCTGCAGGGGTCTAAAAAAACTGAAGAATGTATTCATGGGAATACACATTGTTTAGATGTCTCCTGCTTTGTGGGTTTAAGAGAGATCTTGAATATATCAACATATCTCCATTATATTTGAAAGTTAATGTTCCTGTATTTTGTATTTGTTTTTTATCTTCTCTGTTTATATCTATAAATTATATCAGGTCACTTCTTCATTGAGAAAGAAGATTAGATTCAGAAAGGGAGGCAGGAAGGACAAGAGGGGGGTGATGGAGAGAAAGTTCATGAAAGAGGACGTATTAATTGGAATTATACATGGAAAATTATGCAGAAGAGTCAAGACTGTGGCAAAACCAGGGTGCCGTCTGCACTCTCCTAACAAGGGGAATATGGATATCAGCAGTGATGTCTTCCATGTGTGATACTTAGAGCTGCCACATGACTGACAACCTCTGCTTTGGGGTGAAACACAATCTAGAAAACACAAATATAACCCATTTTTTATGAAATTCAGAAGAAGACAAGAGTCTCTTACAAGACTGTAAGTCAGATCTTCATGTGAGGAGATTCTGACTCACTGTGTCTTGTCAGCAGGCTTGAGGGACAGGGATCAGGGTTGGGTGCGGGGGTGGCAGTCAGCCCAAGAATGTGAAATCTGAAAAATGTCCTTAGGTTGGAGTAACTTTTTTTTCCTCGTTATCAGCAGAGCATCAAGTCATTTTTTTATGTGTGTTGATGCCAAGACCATGGGAGATGGCTTCTGAAGAAAATAACTGCTGGGAAAAATGCCTGTCGTTTAAGAATGTCTCCTACTAATAATTTAATAGCTTTTTAAATTTCAAATGTGCAGTTTCATTTTCCTAAAAATGCTAAGGAAACACATTGTTCTTTTAAAGGGAACCCTAGCTCACTGTTGGCTGTTGGTGGGAATGTAAATTGATACCGTCACTATTGAAAATAGTATGGCAGATCCTCAAACAAGTTAAACTAGAGCGAGCACATGGCCCAGCAATCTGAATCCAGTATATGTTGGGTAAATATCCAAAGGAATTGAAATCAGGATCTTGCAGAGATATCTGCACTTCCATGTTCATTGCATCCTTAGTCACAGTAGCCAAGATGTAGAGACAGCCTAAGTGTTCATCAACAGACATATGGATAAAGAAGATGTGGTATATACTGTATATGCAACAAAACATTATTCATCCTTGAGAAAGAAGGACATCTGCCATTTACAACAGATGGATGGACCTGGAGGGCATTATGCTACATAGAATAATTTAGACAGAGAAAGACAAATACTGTGTGATAGCACTTATATGTGGAATCTAAAAAAGACAATTTCAGAGAAAGAGTAGAGTGGTGATTACCAAGGGTTAGATGATAGCAGAAATGTAAAGATATTGGTCAAAAGGGTATAAACTTCCAGGTGTAAGATTGACAAATTTGGGTGACTCTAGCTAATAACGCGGTATCATACACTTGAATGTTGATATAAGAGTAGATCTTAAATGTTCTTCCCACAAAAAAGAAATGGTCACTATATGCAGGGATGGAGCTGGTGGCTAATACTATGACAGTCATCATTTTACAACTTATACATTGTCAATTCGTTGTACACTTTAAATTTACACACTGTTAAGTGTCCATTGTATCTCAATAACAGTGGAGAGGAAAAAATAAGGTATCACGATTGCCACTGTGCTCAGTTAACAATAAATGTGCTGGGCACCGAGGAGTGCTCAGACCACAGTAACCCTGGGCGGACTTAGGAAGCCTGGCTACATAGGAGGCAGTGTGCTGTGAAGGAAAGACTACAGTGGAGGAGGTGACCCAAGTTCTAATCCCAGCCCTGTCCTGAACTTGTTGGGTGGTCTTGGTCAAGGCCCAAGGTCTCTTGGAGCTTTCTGTTCTCCATGTGTAAAATGAGAGTATTGAAGTAGGTGTTTGGTAAGGTCCCGCGCAGCACCATCATCATATCATCCCATGAGTTGAACCAGTCAGTGCTACTTGGAGCTCTGTTTCGGAGGGCGGTCAGTTTTCACTTGCATGTTAATGATAACCTTTCAGTTCTTTAATCTCTACTGAATTAATGGTCTGAAATTTCTAGTCTTTAATCACGACTTTGTGCATGCTGCACAATCAATATCTCAGCGGAAAGAGGGAGGGTAGAAGGAAGAAAATTCAGCAACTATATTATTTTTCTGCTTTCAATATCTTATTTTACTCCCATTTTATGCAAAATGATCTTGTATTGCTTACAATGAAGAATTATGGTTTAATGAGTTCATCTCATAATTATCTTAAATTTATCACAAAAAGAACATGATTATCGTTAACAACCATCTTCTCCTTCATGTTTCACTAGATTTGGAAAGAAGAAAGATGATAAGGGTGGGAAGGCTGAGCACAAAGGTTCTCTGAAGCATGGTGGCCTGAAGGAGGAGGAGCTGGAAAAAATGAAAGAAGAACGCGAGAGGTGAGCAGGCACTGTCGGGCCCCTGTTGTGTTTGAGCCACGGTCTGTGTTTAATTTGGTGACTGCATCAATCGACTGGAGAGCTTTTATTTTAAGCACAGAAGTTGACTGATACAAAGAGGAGACGCCTGTCCTGGGGGATTTTTATTACATTTTGAGAAAAATTAACTTCACGATTTTATTACATCAATATTTATAATTTCATGATATGCTACCCCTGGTTTTGGCGATATCGGTGCTTATTTTCCCTGTGGTTTAAATGACCAGTTTTTTAAAATAAAAAAGATCATCCTGATGTTGATGTTTAGAACTATCATATTTCCATAGTCTGTTCCTAATTTTTGTCAAACTGTTGTTTGCCTTCTTAATTTTATTCTGCTAAATCCATTTGGGTACTGTAATTTGAGAAGTACATGTCCTTCATTTTTTAAAAGCCAGTGTCTGTCATTAGGCTATCAGCAAGTCGCAGAGTATGTGGCCCATCTGTTACAGGGCCGGTTCCGCTTACCGAGGTCCTGACAGTGAACCGGCTGCGTTCTGCTGTTTGAGGAGCTGAGTGTCCCGTTTGGACAAAGGTTCTTCTCACGTCTCTGATGTTAACTCTGGCATTCATCCAAGAAGATGTGTAAATATCTGATTTCGGAACTTGTAGTTGAATATTCATATTTCTCCTGAAACTTCTTCACCTTTACAACCAGATGAAGAGAAAGACTGAGATGTGATAAAACTAACATATAATTTTAAGTATTCGAGTCTGACTTCATCGTGTATCAAGTCAGATTTGTCCAACTTTTTAGTTGCTTTTTAGTAACTACAGTTGTTTTATTTTTTAAAGAGTTTCTCATACTTGCTGTAATACTCTAGTATGTGCACTAAGAAGCTCATCCTTGTTCACTGTTTTCCAGCCCAGAGCAGGGCGAGTATCTGCCGTTAACCCCTAACCCCAGCCTTGTAGTCGATTCCTGTTGAGAAGGCCGAGTTCATCAATCGCGAGAAAAAACCCGCCACCTATTTGGTCCTGTCTCGTTTTTGAAGGGTCGGTACACTCCGTCCCAGGGTCAGCGGCGCGGTTACAAGGAAATCACGTGCTTTGCATTGTTGTTGACTGTTCCCCGGCAGAGCTGCCCCAAAGACAAGAAAGATGAGTTCTCCTCGGTAGCCCCCGGCGCAGTAATCCCGTCACATGAACCGGAGGCTTCAGTGCCCGTATCGGCAAAGACATCTGTGTGCTGAGCCCACTGCTCAGGTCCTTGCTGCTCCCGCGGCTTTGCTTCTGGAGACACCGCCGCCTGTGCCTGGTCTCCAGGAAGGCGAGCTGCTGGCTGCAGTGCGACCTGAGCTGCTGGCTGCAGGGAGGACTCCGTATGCTTGCGGCCTCATGCCTGCCCGGGAGCGGGCGCCTGTGCCTGGTCTCCAGGAAGGCGAGCTGCTGGCTGCAGTGCACCTGAGCTGCTGGCTGCAGGGAGGACCCGTATGTCCTGCGGCCTCATGCCTGCCCGGGAGCGGGCGCCTGTGCCTGGTCTCCAGGAAGGCGAGCTGCTGGCTGCAGTGCACCTGAGCTGCTGGCTGCAGGGAGGACTCGTATGTCCTGCGGCCTCATGCCTGCCCGGGAGCGGGCGCCTGTGCCTGGTCTCCAGGAAGGCGAGCTGCTGGCTGCAGTGCACCTGAGCTGCTGGCCGCAGGGAGGACTCCGTGTGCCTTGCGGCCCCATGCCTGCCCGGGAGCGGGCGCCTGTGCCTGGTCTCCAGGAAGGGGAGCTGCTGGCTGCAGTGCACCCGAGCTGCTGGCTGCAGGGAGGATTCGTATGTCCTGCGGCCTCATGCCTGTCCGGGAGCGGGCGGCGGGGGCTGCTCGTGGTGGCCAGGGAACTGTGTGCCAGCGAGAAAATGGATAACCCATAAAATCAGGTGGGTTGTCTTTAAGCAAGAGTTCATTTCCTTTCTGGTTTTGCCTTGAGGAAGCAGGTGCCTGAGGGAGTTTTGTGCTTAAAGCAGGGCTGTAAATTCGCCTCGGCTGGCTATATAGGCTTCAGGTCCAATTTTTTAAAAATATGTCTGGTCAGAATATTGAAAGAACAGTGCTATTAGCCTCCACTTAGGCCCTGTCCCACACATGAACACATAAAACACATCTGATGCGGGTTTCCTAGGGACAGCGCTGTCTCAATCATGTGTGAGGGGAAGGAGCTGGAGGAGTTGATTTTATGGTTGGGTGCTGCAGAATTAATGACCGAGGGCATTTCAACAGCTCCGGGCGGGGGCTGTGGGGGTGGCGTGGGGGTGGAACATTTGGCGTGGCTCCCAACCCTGGAGTCCCATTTCTTGGCTCTCCATCATCCATAGGAAACCAATTCACAACTCCTGAAGAACTCAGCGAGTGCATCACTCTGTGGCATGGCCATGGAAAACATGGAGTAAAATCAGAAAGAGTGTATAGAAGTTCATGAAGTTGCCTATTTTTCTAATACATTTGGAATGTATTACCTTAAGATGATTCAAGCCCTCCTGTTGTGTCCTTGTTTTGCCCTAGCCATCACAGAGTTCATCATTTTTCATTAACATATCCCTATTTCAAAGGATTTAAAGCACTTAATAAATACCACACAGTGCTGAAGCCAGCTTATACCAGCTGGTGAGAGATACTTATTACTCTTTCAAGAATTCTGTGAGCTACTTGATAAACCATCGGTAGCTTGAAATTGGTTATGGTGAGAGTATTTACTACGCCACAGACATTGGCAAATGCAGTAAGTTGGGTCTGCTTTTCCAAAGAGCCAGTTTACCAACACACCACTGAGGGTCTATACCAACTCTGTTTAGTGCATAACCAGGAAGAAATGATCAAAAATAGAGGCAAAAAAAGGACCTCATCCAAATCAAACCACATGCCTTCCTATAGCTGTATTTCTCAAAGTGTGGCTCATGGACCACTTGCGTCAGAATGAATCACTTGGGGTGCTTATTAAAAATGAAGATTCCTGAATCCCACACCAGAGGTGCAGGATGAGACAAGGGAGCTGAAGCCCAGGAATCTGTGTGAGTCTTCTGCATTCTAAAGTCTGAGAACCACTGACTTGGAGGGACAGGATTTGGCTGGAACATTATTCCTATTCTATGAGAAATGCTACACTGATTTTTTTTAATGAAAATTGAATAACCCAGTCTAAAAATATTGTCATTTTTCTTATATATCCTCTCTGAAGCATCCTCTCTTACTAACACACGGTTTTGCACACACAATAGGAACCCTTGTCAGTGTTCACACCTAAGGGGATATACATCACTTTTCCCCAGCACCTGCCATGCACAAAAACTTAGAAAAACAGTAAGTTCATTAACAAAATTTTGGAAACATAAGCAAGTATAAAGAAGACTATTAAAATCATGCACAATTCCATTGTAATCACATAACCACTGTGAGTTTTTTGTAATCTTGATATCTATATAGCATATATAGTATCTTACCTTTTTTTTTTTTTTAATCCTCACTCGAGGACATTTTTTCATCTTTTGTTCAGATAGAGCAGGAGGGAGAGAGAGGAAAAGAGAGAGAGAGAGAGAGAGAGAGAGAAACATCGATGTGAAAGGTGCACATCGAGTGGCTGCCACGCGCACAACCGAACCAGGGCCGGGGACACATTGCAACCGAGGTACGTGCCCTTAGCGGGAACTGAACCCGGGTCCCTCTGAACCGCAAGCCAACGCTCTACCCGCTGAGCCAAACCAGCCAGGGCGTATCTTACCTTTTTTCACAGCATTATATTATGAGCATTTCCCCATGTCATTGATGTTTTCAAAATATGTAATTTTGATGACTAATATTCTGTGAGATCAATATATCATAACTTACTTATCTTCTATTGTCAAACATATAGTTTGTTTCCATTTTTCACTGGTCCAAATAGTAATACCTAGTTGAGCATCCAGGAACAAAAACCCTCTTAGATTACCTTTTTTAAATCATATAATTCCTGCTCGAAACCTCAATTTTCTTGTTACTGTTTAACTTAAGGGTTAAACTAAACTTAATTCTAAATTTTAGAATTATATCATACCTCTCCATTTCTCTCATTATTTTTATTAAGATTTCCATATCTCTTTATTTTTATTTATCTACATATCTAATGTATGATATGGAACTATTTGGTACTATATATGAATATCTTACTCATAACTATTGCTATGAAAAGGTCAAAAAAGCCGTAACACGTGGATTAAGTTACTGGATTCAGCTGGAGGAATGCGGAGTCCCCAGTGCTTCTCAGTAGCAGGGCGGGGGGAATGGTATCTCCCAAAGAATATCTGGCTGTATCTGGAGACATTGTTTGTCACGGTTTTGAGGGGCTAGGAGGCGGGGAGGGAGTTGCTACTGCCATGTACTGGGTAGGGGTCAGGGATATGGCTAAGCACTCTGCAATGCACAGCACCGTCCCCATCCCCTAACAGTGACTTTTCCTCCTCAGACTGTCAGTGTGGAGGTTAAAGCCCTGCTCCAGTTGCTGGACTTCACAAAGAGTGAAGGTACCCTCCTGGACATGAGAACTGGTTGTCTCATGATATCCTGTGGATAACACAGATATACATACCAGATGACATAACCCTAGAGGGGTTATTAGCTATTTGAGAAACTGTACCCCAAGATTGCTAATAAATTCCATCAATATAAGCTTACAAGAAAAATGGTCTTCTCAGAATTTATTTTTAACACTGGCCTGCTGAGCATTGGCACCAAATCTCTGTGCCTGTTGGCCATATCTGAACGCCAAGAAGCTGCAGGGGTTGGTAATGTGTCCAATGACAGAATCATCCGGAACAATGGGTTGAATTAAACACAAAGAAACTTAATAGGAATAAATGTAAAGTCTTGGTTTTAGGTCCAGAAATGAATGGTTCTAACACAGGATGTGGAAGGTTTGACTTAATATCAAATATATGAAAAGTTTGCCTGATGTTTTTAGTTGAGGGAACGAGTAGCATGAGTCAATAGGAGGATGTGCCTGCC